GAAGGATAATATAAGGGCAGTGGCTGAATCAACATGGAGAAGGAAAGCGTTCGACAGAAGAACATGGAGTCTTTTGGAGTAGGTTTGTCTTAAGACAAACTGACGAATTTAGGCAACAAACTTTAACCTTACCATCAGTAAAAAGGCTATATATAAATAAACAGAAACCTAACAGTATATAATATGCAAATGCAAAAGTCAGTAAGCCCCCTCCGATCGATCCCCCGTCCAATTCAATCGGGGACCGATGTTACGACGGCCTGAGCCGAGGTTCGAACCCCTAGCGGTGCCCTCAGACTAAAGTCGTATCCGTCAGGCGGGAGTTGGCCTTCAGCCGCTCCAAAAGTCCTTTCGCGGGTTTGGAGTGCCATCTGCACTCGCCCCTATCGTCCGGTGAAGCTGTAAAGGCCAGCCGCGGCCAACAGCATTAGAGTAGTCCGAAAAAAAAGTCAATAGGTCTTTTATGGGAATAGGTATAAAAATTTACAATAAGATACCGAAGGATATACTGGAATTACCCTTAAGTAAATACATAACAACTGTTAAATCATATTCACTGAGCAAAGTCTATTACTCACTAAACGATTACTTGAATGACGAGCATCCTATAGTTGTTCATGCACGAGATTTTTATTTAATATTACACATATAGAAGAGCCCACCTATATATTTTAATATACGTGAAAGTTCTTGTCTGTGTGTCCCCAACACAGGTAAGAACGAAAATATGAAACCTGGATCGTGGTTTACAATAAATAAAAAAAATCAAAATTCGTTATTTTAAGAAACAATTTTCATATATTTTTATTATAACTTGCCAGTTTTTCGCTATACTATTTTAGAAATAAACTTACGTCATTTTAATAAAGCTGAAATTTATCTATATTAACCGTACTAAACTGCCATTGACGGTAGAGAAAATATTATAATATAAAAATGATTGATGTTCATAGGCTAAATGTCCTACATGAATAAATGATTTTTTAAGTTTTCAAACTGAAAAAATGGGAACCAAAAGTCTAAATATATATAACTCTAAAGTGACTGACTGACGTAGTAATCTATCAACGCACAACCCAAACTACTGGACGGAGAGCAAGTTTCTTGTTACCAGCTCATTGAAACCGTATATTGGGTAACAACGGTGTATACAATTCATGGCTGAAATTTGGCATGCAGTTAGATGTTATGACGTAGGCATCCGCTAAGAAAGAATTTTGATTAATTCTGCCCCCAAGGGTTTATCCCCTTAGTGGTTGAAAGTTTGTATGAAACTTTTGTCAATAATATATATAAATTTCCAATCGTAAGTTTATTTACAAAATAGATAGTTTACTTTGCAATGAGCATAAATACTGTTACGAGCAATATGTGAAAAAATGGAGCATCTTAAAATAACGAATTTGATATGAAATTGTATACACCGTTGTTACCCAATATACGGTTTCAATGAGTCTGGTATGATAAGGAACCAAGAAAACTGTCTGGCAATTTAGGAAACTCAGTTTGAGAGAACTCTCAATAATATATATAAATTTCAGCTTTATTAAAATGACGTAAGTTTATTTCTAAAATAGTATAGTTTAGGGGGGTCGGCGGAGGGTTGGAACAACTACGTGTCTGGCAATGAGCAGCGCAAATAATAATGCTACGAACAATATACTGGAGCATCTTAAAATAATGTTTGACATGTTAATCCAATATACGTTTCAATGATTCGCAAAGAACCAAGTTTATTTAGGAAACTCAGTTTGAGAGAACTCTCAATAATATATATAAATTTCACAATTAAAATGACGTAAGTTTATTTACAAAATAGTATAGTTTAGGGGGGTCCGGCGGGGGGTTGGAACCACACTAAGGGTCTGGCAATGAGCAGAGCAAGTTATAATACTGTTACGAGCAGTATGTGAAAAAATGGAGCATCTTAAAATAACGAATTTGATATGAAATTGTATACACCGTTGTTACCCAATATACGGTTTCAATGAGTCTGGTATGATAAGGAACCAAGAAAACTGTCTGGCAATTTAGGAAACTCAGTTTGAGAGAACTCTCAATAATATATATAAATTTCAGCTTTATTAAAATGACGTAAGTTTATTTCTAAAATAGTATAGTTTATATATGTCTGGCACTGAGCAGCGCAAGTTATAATAGTGCTACGAACAATGTATGAAAATATGGAGTTTCTTAAAATAACGAATTTGGTATGATTTTTTTTACTCCTTTGTTACCTGGTACCTGCCAAAGGAACCACGATCCAGGTTTCATATTTGGGGATCGTTCTTACCTGTGTTGGGGACACACATACAAGAACTTTCACGTTTATTAAAATGACGTATGTCTGGCAGTCGTGGGCTCTTGCTCTAATAGACACCTATATAAATATACATTGTAAGAAAACTGGCTTTTACAATAAATAAATAAAATATACAATTTAATTTTTTGCCAGTTTTTCGCAATTGGATCTATATACTAAACTGGACGGTAGGGAAAATATTATAATATAAAAAATTTTACGTTCATAAACGACTAAAATGTCCTACATGAATAAATGATTTTTGAATTTTGAAAAAATGGGAACCAAAAGTCTAAATATATATAACTCAAAAGTGACTGACTGACGTAGTAATCTATCAACGCACAACCCAAACCACTGGACGGATCGGGCTGAAATTTGGCATGTAGGTAGATGTTGTAATAAAAAATTATTCTGCCTCCAGCGCGAACAAAGCCGCGGGAAAAAGCTAGTTACTATTATATTTCCGTTAATCTCGTCCGCACATTTATCTAGTACCCATAACACAAGCATTGCTTCGCTTGGGATTAAATGACAATGTGTGAATTGTCCAAGGATTATTTTACTTGGCTTTCACCGGTGTTCTTGCTATATATAGGCCTAAGCCAAGTACATAAGCAAATTATGTTTCTTATGTACTTGGCTAAGCCTATATACAGTTATATCAATAAACGTCCTAATCAGTTTGAAGGCATTTTTATTATTATTAGTTACTAGCTGTACCCGCGGTTTTATCAATAAATATTCAATAAAAAATATAGCCTATATGTCATTCTGATGCTTGAGCTATATTACTGTAAAGTTTAATCAAAAACCGTTCAGTAGTTCTTTTCGTGATAGAGTAACAAATATACTCACATACGTAATAAGGAACGAGTATTACGGGATTATTATGGGAATTATGGGAATGAGTATTACGGGAAACGAGCAATTGATTAAAACAGTCCAATAACCGAAGTGACCGATACCTCCTATTGTGTGCAAGTGTGCGAACGGATTCTAATTAAAATATTTATATTATAATACTTACGATGTTCACTTTCACACGTAAAATAACAAAGGAACTTGACGTGCTTGGTCAGGAAATAATCAGTCACCATCTGTACTCCTGCAGGGTCTAAACCCATGACGTTGCTGATAACACCGGCAGTGATAATGGTTGAAAACCACAGATACCTCATGTTTAATGCCTGCACAAATAAAGTAATACGATCAAACAAATGAGTAAATAATAAAATTGATTATTAATCTGATAAATAATAGACTAGATTCAAATAAACTTAATTTCAGCACTTTTGAATAGTCATAACAATTTTATTTTAATCTACTGCTCGTTCGGAAATCTGTCTCATCACATCTCTCTTTATTGATAAGGTAAATTGGCTGCAGCTGGCCTTTACAGCTTCACCGGACGATAGGGGCGAGTGCAGACGGCACTCCAAACAAAAGGAAGGACTTATGGAGCGGCTGAAGGCCAACTCCCGCCTGACGGATACGACTTTAGTCTGAGGCACCGCTAGGGATTCGAACCTCGGCTCAGGTCGTCGTAATATCGATCCTCGTTTGAATTGGACGGGGGATTCTAACTTTCATAACGTTACGCTATAAGAATGAGTCCGTAGAAATAAAAAAAGCTGTAGAAATAGGTAAGAAACAGAAATCCACGCAAACGATTCGTTGCTGGCTGCTTGTCTGCCATCTTTTTAAAAACATTGTATTTTTGATATCTATTTTTGATATGTCCTTTTTGACTAGACTTCTTCGCTGTGAGCCCTTTTGGAAAATATACACATTTATTACAATTATTAAAGATTTTTTTAATTGTCGTTGTGTTGTTATAATGTCGTTATAGTAATAATATAACAATTATGTTATATATGTATATTGTAATAACATAACATAATTGTTATGTTATTATTATTAAAGATTTTTATTAATTGACATTGTGTTACCGCTCTAATCACATGATTTGTATGTTTGTATGTTTGATTGTTGTTTGTCAGCCATAAATTCTACGATTATATACAACGTCTTACTCTTCTATAAATTTTCTGTTATTGCAACAAAGTGAGTAGTAATTTTCATTATAAATTTTTGTTTGTGAATTTGTACCGGTAGCATTGGGGAGATCCATTTTTGTCCGTCTTTTCCTTTCCGCTGTATTTACATAGTTTTAATTAAGTTGCTCCCCTCAGTCTCGAGACGCTATGTTTCATAATTTAACTGCTACCATTCAATATTTAGTTTCAGTTTTGAAACAATCTTCTGTGAGTGTTCTGAGGAATTGTTCGGATTAATACCAGCTGCTGAGTTTCACCACCGTACCACCCGCCAGAAACTGAAATACCATCCTGATCATCTGGATGAATGGCGGTCTTCCACAGTGCGGTTTTCTAGAAACTTTTTGCCTCGCACAACCACATTATGGAATCACCTTCCAGCAATGGTATTTCCGAACCGATACGATATTGAAACCTTCAAGAAAAGAGCTTATTCCTTTTTAAAAGGCCGACAACGTACTCGCAATTCCCCTGGTGTTGCGGGTGCTCATGGGCGGTGGTAATCACTTACCATCAGGTGAGCCGCATGATCGTTTGTCCCCTGTGTTATAAAAAAAAATATCGTAGCGCTCATTTTTGATGGATTTTAATAAGAACTGCAAGTACAAGGGGGTATCCCTAGCGTACCTAGCCCCCTTGTACTTGCTTCGGCAATACATATACTAAAATTGAAACGATACAGAGAAGATCAGCATGGCCCCTGCGCCAAGGATGACACGGAATCGTGAAACGTTCCACATTTTTCTCGAATGCGGAAACGAAGCCGAGATGTCGGCGACTAATCATGTCTGGGTTTTGGTGGGTGGGGTCCCACAGTATTCGACCGCATCCCTTCATAAAGGCGGACGTTTCGGTACTGGAACCTTACCCCTCGAAAAAAAAAACGGATACTCCCCTTGGGTATCCCTAGCGTGCAGTGTATTGTAGTGATGAAGAGAATTATACCAAATCTACTCTCAAACATACTTAACTTTAGGTATTTATATACATAGGACCTTTCGACCTCTTGTTCAGGTCGTATTTTTTACCTCTATTTTTACAGTCTAGTTCGGTTTACTTTTTTCCCTTTATTTATTCAGGAGCTTAGCAGAAAAGAAACTCAACTGATACTTCTTTATATTATTATTTTTTTTAGTAAATTTAATTTTTATTAATAAAAATATCAGGACAATTCACACAGCGCCATCTAGACCCAAGTTAAGCTAGATAAAGCTTGTGTTATGGGTACTAGATAACTCATACAAATACATAGATATATTTTTTAAAATACATACTTACTATACATAGAAAACACCCAGACCGATACAAACAATCATATTCATGAATACAAAAGTTTGTGCCGTGCGAGGAATTCAACCCGCGACTAGACCATCGAGTACGTCAAAAAATAATCTTTTGAATATCACATAGCGTTTAGGTAATGAGATACTCCATATCTATATAGAGATTTTCTACCTAAATAGATGTATAATATTAACAGTTTTACTCTACGTTTGGTTAATTATATAAAAATATTTTTCTGTATGCAAGTGTTGAGAAATTTAATTTAGTTAAAATAATAATAAACTTAATTTAATTTACTTTAAAGTTTAATCTCCGTCAGCCACTGTGGTTTAGTGGTCTAGACTAACTTAGCTGTGATATTTAATTAACTAAAATCTTAAGACGTTGTAATTTAAAATAATAATAAATTTGACCACATGTTCAGACAAATAATAAAAGTGTAGAATAGAATAGAATTTATTGTAATAAACTTAATTTAAGCACTTTTGAATAGTCATAGTTATAGGTTCTTTTGACTCGGTTCAGAGACGTGCTATGAGAATAGTCGATGATCCCAATCTCTCTGGCGGTATCGAGCCACTTAGCTTGAGGCGAGACTTCGCCTGAATTTGTGTGTTCTACCGATTATACAACGGACTGTGTTCTGAGGAATTGTTCGACATGATGCCAACAGCCACCTTTTACCACCGCACCGCTCGCCATCGATAGAGAATTCATCCCCACACACTGGAACCTAAGTGGTCCCGAACAGTGCTGTTTCAGAGGAGTTTCCTCCCGCGTACACTTAGATTGTGGAATGAACTCCCTGCCGAGGTTTTCCCACGAGACTACAGCATGGGGTTTTTCAAGAAGGGTATATTAAGGTTTCTTAAGGGTCGGCAACGCGCAAGTGATACCCCTGGTGTTTCAGGCGTTCATAGGCTACGGTAACCATTTACCATCAGATGGGCCGTATGCTTGATTGCCACTATCGTAGTATAAAAAAAAAGTTATCATTCTTTCAATCTTTCGCTCATTCGGAAAGCTGTCTCATCACAAGAAGAACGAGAGAGATACTTGCGTGTTGCTCTTTTAAATAATCATTGTAATTTTACATTTCCAATTCGAAACGTGCGAATACAAACCACCAACTAGCACTAATTTATTATCTTCAGATATACAATAGGATTAAATCAGTCGTAGTGATTAGAGCAGACCAGTCCCTACAAGCAACACCCGTTCACGAGTGTGACGTATGATATATGTATATGTAGATTTTTTTTATTATATAGTTATGCCCTTATTTCCATAGACTGAAGATCCATGCCATTTTTTGCAATTTTTTTTTTTTATTTATGTCATCCGCATAATTTTTTTTTTTATTTTTACTTCGCTAATGAATAAGTTTTGGTAAAGAAACAAAATTTTTGAGTTGTATTGTATATCTAGTAGTTACTTAATAATTAATTTTTTAAATCTGAGCGGCTGAAGGTCAACTCCCTCCTGACGGATACGCTAGGGGTTCGAACCTCGGCTCAGGCCGTCGTAATATCGATCCCCGTTTGAATTGTACGGGGGATCGATCGGAGGGGACTATGACCAAAGTCAACCAAAGTTTTCTTTTATTGTTGTCGATCCAAGTATATTTTTGCCTGACATTTCCTTATCTTCCTGATCCTCCTTTTTCTTCTTCCATGACTCTCCATTTCAAAACTGCTTACATCACGATGTAGTCATTTGAAGTAATTAACTATACCTACACATGTCCATTATTCTGTTTGTACTACCTTTTTATCCGTTTGTTCTTTGAAACGCCTAGATCTATTTTGAGGGTTATTCACTTGCATATATTTAAGTTTTCGTTAAGGCAAATTCGCAGATCGATCGGAGGGGTAACGGCACCAATTAACTAACACTTACCACTGCAGCATCGGCGTTAGCGCATGTTTATCATCGCGCATATTTATTCATCCGTCATACTCGTGAACGGGTGCTGCTTGTGTGGACTGGTCTGCTCTAATCACTATAACTTATTTTCTCTTATTAATTGTTTAACCAGTTGTTGTATATTGAATGTTTTTTCTATTTTATTATTTCATTGAATTAGTGCTAATCGGTGGTTTGTATTCACACACTTAAACTTAAGTTGTAAGTAAGAATAAATTATTTAAAAGAGCAACACACAAGTTTCTTGCTTGTTCTTCTTGTGATGAGACAGCATTCAGAATGAGCGGTAGATTAAAAAAAAAAATGTTATGAGTATTCAAAAGTGCTTAAATTAAGTTTATTTGAATAAATGATTTTCTATTCTATTCTATTCTATATTAATACAGATGTAATACAAATTCCAATGTTATAACCAAACAAACTAATGATAATAATTTTTAATAATCGACGACCTCGGTGGTCTAGCGGTTTAGCACACTGCTTTACGTCCGATGGTCGCGGGTTCGATTCCTCGCACGGCACAAACATTTGTATTCATGAGTATGATTGTTTGTATCGGTCTGGGTGTTTTCTATGTGTAATATGTATGTATTTACGAAAAAAAATCCATATATATGTGTCAGTTATCTAGTACCCATAACACAAGCTTTAGCTAGCTTAACTTGGGTCTAGATGGCGCTGTGTGAATTGTACTGAGATTTGAGATTATTATTATTCTCCTTTTCACAGCTTAAGCTGGTGAGTACCGAGGACGGGACATGCCCAGTCCCTCGTTACTTTATTTCGCTGATTGGTTCACTCTGTGGCATTTAGGAAGCGACGGACTATTGCACATGTATCTAAGATAACAGCCTTTGTAGTGGAATGTAGATTCGTTTATTTAATTTCATATCGTCTATTGCTTTATGTAGTGTTTTAGGAATAGTTATTTATTATTATTATTATATATATTTTTTTTTTATTTATTTAACTTTAATGCACACAATATAATATATAGTATAGTACATTTGGCGGACTTAACACCATAATTTTTATTTTACATCCAATATTTACAATTTAAATTGTTCCCTGGTACCTAAACTAAGTAGAATCTTGATTGTAGGTACCAGTTCCCTCCTCATACAATGGTTGGAATTACAATTTATAAAAAGACAATCAAATATGGTATTAACTCAAGCTTAGCATTATTTACTTGCAATGTGTGTGTGTATGTGTGTGTATGTGTGTGTGTGTGAAATTTAATCTAAACTTTCCTGTATGTGCAGATTGCGCAAAAATCACAGTGAGACGTCACTTCGTGCAAATCCACAATGGCGGTGTATATTGTGGTGGGTCACATGTGGCTTTTGTAGCTGACAGCCGGCAATCCACAAATACGCACGTCCCTCGCTCCCACTGTGCAGTTTGCATTACGTGCCAGACATGTACCATAGATACTCACTCATAGAAGTGACATAATGTTTTCTTTTTTTAACAATTAATCTAAATATATATGAATATGTATAACTCAAAGGTGACTGACATAGTGATCTATCAACACACAGCCCAAACTACTGAACGGATCGGGCTGAAATTTGGCATCCAGGTAGATGTCATCCGCTAATCATTTCATAGGGGATGAAAGTTTGTATGAAACTTTGTCAATTTTAAACCGATCGGGCTGAGACTTTGCATGCATAAAGCTACCATGACGTAGGCATCCTCTAAGAAAGAATTTTGATAAATTCCTCCCCTAAGTTGAGAAATTAAGGCGAGCGAAGCCGCGGGTAAAAGCTAGTAATAATGTATATTTGTAATATACTACATAATATAATACATACATACATACTGTCTAAATTGTATAAAACATTAATTAAGTTTATTAAAACAAGTAAATTAAATCTGTAATCCTTGCTCACACTAGTTCGGGAGTCAGGACTGCATCAAACTGTACACTGATGAAAGTTTAAATAACTAAAAAAATATTTTTTTGCCATTTCTTCACAACCACAGACATATCCACATCCGCATCCACATCTAAATCCACACACACATACACATACACATACACATACACATACACATACACATACACATACACATACACATACACATACACATACACATACACATACACACACACATACACATACACATCTATATCTATATATCTATCAGTGTTGCAAACGGGTCTTCCAGCCACAGTAAGTCTTTGGTGCATAATCGGTGTTAGCAATTCGCAATCGTGAACTTTTTATAATCAGCATGAATCTGCCAATCATTTCACTCACCCGGTGACCTCCGCATTTAATATTTACGTGCAAATTCTGTTTACCCCGTACTGAATTAATTACGGGAAAATGGCATGCAATTGACATTTGCGACCATTATCCAGTTGTTATTTGTCATAGAGGATAATGTGGTTTTGCAATTAACGTTGCATATAATAAATTGTTTTGAACCAACTTCATAGAGGATGGTGTTCGCAAATCGGATGTTATGTAAGTTTTTCTCTACATTCTTCGAGTCGTGTCAGTTCTTAGCACTCCGAACTG